TCATAAAGGGATTCCGTTTGGAGGTTCGAAAAATTTAAAGGATTCAACAAGAATAACCAATGTCATAGGGGAGTACAAAATCTTGAATGAACTGGTACTATTTCAAACGAAGAGAAATTTAGTTTTGAGGAGTTTGTTCTACTAAGGTCGATTTATAGCTGTATTATTTACTAGGCCTGCGATAACAAAAAAAAAAAAAGAAAAAAAAAAGCAAAATCATAATCATAAAAAAAGTGTCTATAATCATAAAAAAAAACTAAAATCCTGTACAATTTTTTGCTCCATAATGCTCTAGAAATTCTCTATATTAGGCTCTTTGATTCACTCTAAAATTTTCTACAAATTCACCAAAGACTATTCTCCTCAAATAAACTTTCATCCGTATTCACTAACTATTCTCCTAAAATTCTCAAAGGATTATCTTCTGAATTTCTTCTAAATTCCACACAAAATTCTCTTGGAGTAGTTCCGTAAATTCCATGAAATGATTCTCAGAATTCTCAAGAAACTCTTTGTTGAGTTCTCTAAAAAAAATACAGGAATATCCTTGAAAGTCTCTTAAGTATTCCTTTAAAATTAAATTTCCTTGGAAATGTTCTTGAAACTTTCCTCAGAATTCCTTTGGAATTTGGTATAGAATTTTCATTGAATTATTTTCTGAATTACCATTGGATTCCCCTTCTTCTCTTGAAATGCTACTCACAAGAACCTTGGACTTCTACTAACAAATTCCTTACAATTATCCTCAAAATTACTTTGATATTTTAGTCAGGACTGTCTTGGACTTCTCTAAGGAATTACATTGGAATCCTCATCAGAATTTTGTTTTGAATTTTCTTTGAATCCTACTCATGATTCTATTGGGCTTCTACTCAGAACTAGTTTGGAATCTGGAGTTTCCTTAACAATTCTTCAATTGGAATTTTCCCCTGAATTCTCTTATCCCTTGGAGTTCCTTGGAAATTCTCATCAAATTCATTCACTAAAGTAGAGATGAACTAGCCTTAGGCTAAAAATCTCTAAAATAAAGATTAAAAATAAAAAAAATCATTAAAGTCCATAGGCTAAGTCGGTAAAGGCGCAGTTACAAAGCAAGACCATGCTGGAGGTGGCTGGGTTCAATTCCCGCTCTGGTCTAGGAGTTTTTCGGGTTGGAAAATTTCTCGACTTCCCTGGGCATAAGGTATAATTGTACTTGCCACACAATTATACTAATGCAAAAATGGTACAGGCATCGAAAGCTCTCAATTAAAAACGGTGGAAGTGCATGTAGAACACTAAGTTGAGAGCACGCAATAAGCTAATATACGATATGCAATAAGCTTGAAATGCGAAGAAGAAGAACATGTGAAACTCTTGCAAGACCGTTATTAAAAAAATTAATCTGGGTTCATTGAAAATATTCAGTGTCCGGCGACTGAACATATATTTACATTCCAAAATTTCTCCAATTTTTTTATTCTAATTCATGGCTCAGAATCCTAAAAAATAGAACTCAAGTTTCAGAATGTATGTAATTACCAGGCTTGCTGAAACTCTTCAAACTTACTGGAGGTTTTAAAACACTCATGTCCTGCGAGTTTAGCCAGCCCTCACCTCGAGTGAGTGGCGGCAGGAATATGGAAGAAGTAAACAAAAACTCCTCGAGAGAGAGGGAGAGTGAACTTCAGCGAGAGGATGATTTGACGTGAGGTGCGCTTTTCGAGACTCCGTATCAGGGCTGAAAAAATCACTAAAATTCATCAAAGTTCACTATGGATGAACAATTCATTTCATAGTGAATGCTGGTGATTTTATCATGATTTTTTCAACTCTGCTCCGTATGACTTTTTTGTTCGACGCAAGAAGCTCAGAGTTCACCCAGAGTGAGAGTAAGAGCGTGTGATAGAAAACATGAATTAGGTTTTGCACCGTCGGGGTTAACCTCAATCTGATGACAGTTCAGTGGTACTGTTTACGTGGACTTAGTCGATTTTTTCTTGGGTGGATTTTCTCGATAATTTTTCAGACTTTAGTGAGATGTAAACCACACTTCTGCAATGTCCATGAGCGACATCCTTTCAACGCGCTGTTCCTCGTCAATTTTCAAGTTAAAATTAGGAAATTTTAGAATATTTTTTTTTCGAAAAAACGACTAAGTGCTTGTAAACAGTACCACTGAACTGTCAAAAAGGTTCAGCCGATTAACACTGAGTTCATTTATGACGTCACGCTGCAATACCTAATATGAATGGCAGCAAACCTCACTCTCATTTTATCCCCCTTCGCTCACAAGCTCTGAAGCTTAGTGGAATGATTTGGCAGTAGGCATTCTACTCCTCAGAAAAATGCTACGCTCAGCTCATTTCAAGCGTGGTAATTACTGAAGGCAAATCCACTTCCTAACAGGGTGTCCTAGAAGACACCCTGTCTATGACCATAGAGTAAGATGGGACAAAAGTTTGTTATGAAGTGTTCAAAGTCCATGCAAAATGAAACTCAATGTTTTACAAATGACTTTTAAAACCAGATTAGAGCCACACAAATTAGTGATATTTTCGGAGAGCTTGTTTCGAGATGATAAATTACCAACTTTGGGGCATAGAACACGAGAAACTTAATAGTGAAGGGATAATTTTATTGCAGGGCAAGATTCTGTTTCTCTTGAGGATGTTTTTGGGAGTATCAGGTTTTTGATATGTCATCAGGAAACTACAATAGTGGGGCAAAAGTCCGAGTCGTGTTTCAAAATCATGTCATCATTCGCAATTGTCAAAAATGCATTATTTTTTTTTAGACTTTATTTAAGAGATTTTTAGCCTTAGGCTAGTTCATCTCTACAAAAATGCATTTATTTACTCTAAATAATCTTAAATTGAGCAGAATGTTCCAAAAACCTCGAAAAAAATGCGATCCTATTGCATTTACTGTGGAAAACCACGATTGGATTTTGTTGTACGAAAGTTCTGACAATATCTAGTCACAAACATGTGGTTTCTTTATGTCCTTTACACCATCATGGGGAATTTAAGGATTTTTATTGGCAATACTTCCCAAAAACTGACAATAATTTTGCTAACTAAAAATGAACTGAAACTTGTAACCATTGAATTACGGATAATGTGTATGGAATTAGTTTGTTTCTATCTAAATGCTTGGAATTTTGAGATATTTTATTTTTTTCAACTAAGGTCGAACTTTTGTCGTGCCTTACTCTATTGAATTTTGCTACCCAATATTAATTCAAACTAGGTGTTTTTTAAATTATAACTATGCAGAAATTTTATTATGGAGTTCAAAGTTTGTTTATATGCAGTACAACGTGAGCAATCTAAGCAATAAAATAAACACGTCCCATCTTTCCGTAGACGCGTCGTAACGTCACTTTTTACTTGTGCGCCAGTTTTCAAGGCGCGATTTTTATCCAGTTCGTTTATTTGAAAGGCTCAATCGTTGTTCACTGTTTGTAACAAAATCCACTTAATTATATGTCTAGTAGAAGTTGGGCTGAATACTCGCGGCTTACTAGAAGTTAGAAGGGTACATGGTCGAAGGATAGGATCAGGGGAGGAGCTTAGGGGTGGGTTTTCGTTGTCTCATCAGAGCGTTGTCGCCAGTATGAATGGTAGTTCGGTTCTAGAGTCGTCTAGAGTTCGACCGGCTGAAGACGCTATGTATAACTAGGCCCTCTAAACCGAAATAAATAACAACAAAAAATAGCACAACCTATTGTTGATAATTACACACATGATAATCCTCAATTTAACTCAACTGAGATTTTAAACTTCGCACAAATGACCATTCGACCACGCAAAGAAACAAGTAAGTTATATCGAAGAATACATTAAATTCTATTGTATTGGTCGAAAGATGATATTTTTGCAACAGTAACATTTTCCACAATAGAAAAACTTAAAAATTTATAGTAATGAGTTCAAATTAGCTCGAGAAAAAATGACTTCTCCATATCCAAAGCTTTTGAAGAAAACCCCCATTTGACAAAGTATTCGGTGAGTTGTAAAATTCTACCATTTATCAAAACCATATGGCTTCCTATCGTTATAAAACTCCATGCTTTCATCTTGCCAGCCCTCAAGTGCCACTCGGTCGAGTGTAGGCACAACTCAATGGGGCAACTTCTTCTTTATACGGTATGTCAACTGTAAACTAACTGCCACCAGTCGACCAAATGAGCCATTCATGCAAACATAAATATATTAAAGCACAGGACTGGCTCCGTCGTTTTGCGTAGGACTTGGACCAATACGTTCAGCAACTGCGAGGGCGAGGGCAAGAAAAATGACACTCCATTTATGGGTATCTGCATGGTGCATAGCCAGAGCCAAAGCAATCCACGACGGATGTTGGCGACGACGACGACGTCGCCTACTACACGTCGTTAAAATGAAATAATTACACAACTTTTCCAACCTGCCCCACACGGCTTAACTACAAGAGACCAGTTCCAAAAATGGTGCGATTAGCGTATTCCAACTGGATTTTGAATCAACATGCACTCAACCTTCTCTAAGAGGAAGAAAAAGCAAATATCCGAAAGAATTGAGGCATTGGCCAAAAAGCAAACAAACATCAACGTAGGAAGTTATATACGGGTGGCGTCCCCCATGAGCAGAATTGCAACCTCAAAACGGAACTCAAGTCTTCCACCGTTTTTACCTGGTTTGAAATTAAGTTTTTACGACGGATGAAGGATACGGGGACTGGAGAGGGGATATAATAATTGGATTGATGGAAACGAGCTGCACGCCACCAATTAAAGTGGGGAAGGCGCCGTTGTTCTGGTTCGCTTTCGAAGCGATTCCCATATTGATTCTCATCTAGGCATAATGATCTACTTGGGAGAGCACTGGAAATGAAGTTGGGGAAAACGATTTCGCTAATGACTCTTGTATAATGAGATAGTACGCGATATTGAAGGTGATTCTAGGGTTTGATTAGCACCTTAGCGGAAAAGCACGTGCTAGTAGGTCTTGGGATTTGGATCTTCAGCAGCAGCTTACCTTTTACACTAAACAATATAAATTCTTCGTCGTACTCAAAAAGGGTATCCAAATTGGTATACTGAAAAATAAGCACCACATTCACCGTCTACAATGTGTTTTAAAGCACTTGAGAATTTTCACTCTTCAATTTCACAATCCACTCCACATAAGCTGCCTTGACGCTATTAAATCAATTTTTTGCTACTTCACTCTCCCAGGGTTTGTAATCCGCTATATAGCCCCCGTATCGTAGAAGTATGATTTCTTCTCACAGACGTCTTTCTCATTCCACTTTTAACCGCACTGGGTTATTTCGTGCTGCTGCAGCACAAAGCTATCGTTTTATCTTAATTTTCTTCGATGCACTAAACCAGAACACGTTTCGCAAAAAAACCGCACGTACATCAAATATAGTAACTCTGCTCGGTTGAATGCGCAAAAAGCAAGACTTTTCCAGACGACTCGTCCGTCTCGGGGCTCAATCTTCCATGAGATTTTCCAAAAATGGGATTTTCGTAACGCGAGAAAAATGGAGCTGCCTGCTAGCTGATGCGACAACTATAGCAAAGTAGTATCGTTTCTCGACGTCAGAGAGTTTCCACCATCATCATCAACAGCGACGACGACAACGACGAATCAACCGAACCCGACCATATAATGGAAAACTATGCTACACTAATACCAGCGAGTGCGGAGGGTTGCATCGTTGGTTGAGGAAAAACCACTACATAGGGAGTCGAGCATGGAACCCACACTCGCACAGAAGCAGCTTAGCATAACCAAGTGCATAGCATAGCAGCCTCAGTGTGGAAGTAGTGACGGGCAGCTGCAGCATGATATCTCGCTATCATTTGAAAAGGGCCTATCATGATTTCTTATGCACTTATCATGCGAATCGAAGCTCGCCTAAACAATCCTCCCCTTCCCGACAGCGTTCTCGGTTTGCGCGTAAGGGCCATACAAGACTCGTTTACACAAGCTGATAGGCTCTTTTCAAATGTTACGTGTATGTTATATTATATAAATTGTGCGTTTGTTATGCTGCGAAACGGATACGGTTTATGTTGCATTATTCTGGCTTGATTGGAACAAATGGGGATGATGTATGCGGAAAAGTACGAGAATGAAATGGAAAATACTTGAAGGAAGAGGACAGCCCGACGCGCGAGGCCACTGACAGATGGGTGTGCTTGGGATCAATGTATCGAGTTCGATACATGCATTGAAGTTTTCATCAGAAATATTTAAAAATTTAACCAACGAATTGGGGTTTTGTGGGAAATTTATCTGCGGTTCGATTGTTAATATTGTGTTCAAATGTTGGATACCTTCAGGTCAAAATTGATTATTTTTCGAACTAAAACTTACGATGTGCGGAACAACACTCCGTACTTATGCAGGAAAATGCTCTAGACAAATCTTATACCAAACTATCTGTGGGGTTTGTACTACCTTCTAGGATTCCAACAAAATTTTATGGATGCAAACACTTTAACTATCCTGATGAATGTGGGCGTCTTAGTGGAATACCTGTGCAAAGAAATAGAGAAGGATCAGTAATTTCCATTTGATTCCACTACTTTATTTGCTTATCCTTGACAATGTGCAGACTACTTCAGTGTATTGTATTAATACTCGAGTATTAGTATAATAGTCGAGTGTTAATACAAGACACTGAAGAAGTCTGCACATTGTAGACGAAATGCGCGTATCTGTCAAGGATAAGCAAATAAGGTAGTGGAATTAGATGGAGATTACTAATCCTTCTCTCTTTCTTTAGACTTTAACTAGTTAAGCAACATTGCATGATTGTTTTCCTATAAACAAGACTATTTTTTTAATAAACTTTAGAAAATTACGACCAAATATGATTAGACCTTCAAAAAGTTAGTCAATAAGTAAACTATGGAACACTGCCTAGAATTTTAAAACAACCACCTAGATTTTAAAACAGGCTTGATGAAACTCCTCAAACTCACCGACGAATTTGAAATACTCATGCCCTGCTAGTTAAGGCAACACTCGCCTCGAGTGAGTGGCGGCAGGAATTGGCGTTGACGGCACCGTCGAAAAATTTGCTCTTCCAGCAAATATAGACAGTTTCTTATGGGAATTTTCGGTGGAGTGAAAGGATAGTACAAAGTCCGCCATGTTTCATGCACAGTCTGACGTTTGATTATGGATTTTCTCATAGGAGTAAAGAGCTACAGAGTCGCCGTCAACGCCAATATGGAAGAAGGAATATATGGAAAAACTCCCCGAGAGGAAGAGTGAACTCAAGCGAGAGGATGGTTTGACATGAGGCTCCGTATGACTGTTTGATCGAGGAAAGAAGCTCAGAGTTCACCCAGGGTGAGAGTAAGAGCGTGTGAAAGCAAACATGAAAAATAATGGCAGCAAACCTCACTCTCGTTATATCTCCCTTCGCTCACAAGCTTCTCACCTCTTCAGCAAGCCTCAGCTCGGTGGAATGATTTGTAAGTAGGAATTCTACTCCTCAGAAAAATGCTTCGCTCGGCTCATTTCAGACTCGCGAGTGAGGTCCCGTCAAGGCTGCCCCCAACTACGTCGTCCATACGATTTTATGTAAAATTAATCAAACTGTAGACCTTCTTCAAGCCCCCAAAAGAGTATCTGGAGGATATGGAAAACCACTACAGGGTGTCTACTCATTTTGGTGAATAAAATTCTCTGAGATGTACAGGTTTTTCCAGGACTTCAACAGAAAATTCCGCTCGTTCATAAAACTATAAAGATGAAATTATACCTGTATGGTTTTAATAATAAGATTTCTTTTATATGGCTTTCTCAGTTTAGGGCAATCCAAACAGTAAGTTTTGCATTTCCCAACGTTTCGACCGTTTATTGTGGTATTTTTCGACTGTTTTACCCTTGGCCACAATAAACGGCCGAAACGTTGGGAAATGCAAAACTAACTGTTTGGATTACCGTAGACTGAGAAAGCCATATGAAAGAAATCTCCATACGTGCCAGTCAAAAAATCTAATAAATTTAATAATAAGAAATTTGAATTAATAGCAGCTATTATTCGTTTCTGAATTTTAAATACTTTTATTTTTATCAGAAATAGGGTTAACTACCCCATTTCCGGCCTATTAGGCACAACCCGCATTTAGTCTTTCTTAATCTAGCTCAGTTTAGCACCAAACGGAATGTTATTATTACTGATGGCATCCAAATTTATTTAACTTTTCGTAGGTACCGTAAGATTTGATAAAGAGAAACCAATCGTTGAGATATTGTCAAAAGTCTATCACTGCTTCTTGACGCCAAACTCGGCCTACGGATTCTAAACTCGGCCTAACCCATTGATACGCCATTGAAACGCCAATGAATTCACTTCGGCCTATCGGATGAAGATAAAAAATCATTCGGTCGGAGCGCTTCTTTTGTTTTTGGGAATTATGGGTGCAAACTTTCATATCACGCGTTCTCATTGACTTCGTTCGGTAGCTTATTAACTAAAGTATCGTACCAAACGCATGGTAATGTGGGCTGCAGCCTTTCGTTGTGTACTGGAGAACACCATCACTCACCATACGGTGATTGAATAAACACCGTTTGGTGAGACCGGATGGAATTCAACTTTAAAATCTGTGTTAGGGAAATCGCTTTTCGCAGGCAATCGGTGATAATTTTAATTATCATAGCAACAGTTGCACATTCGTGCAATTTTCAATAGTAACATTTTGAAAAATTATAGTCTTAATTTTAACAGATTCGTAGAAAAAATTCCTATCGATTAGCGTATTAAGAATTAAAATCCATAATATCTGGATCAGAATTAGACCACTTTCATGCCGCGACCGACTAAGGTTTTTTTAAATTTCACCACCAATGTTGCCTTAAAGTTCACGGTATGTTAGATGTAAACATATCTAGATGGAGCTGGAATCAGGCGTAACAGCTTTTGTAAACAATGACTTCTCTAGATGGTTTTGAGGAATTAAAGGCACGCCCACGCAGAACAACATTATCGTCGGGTAGAGGAAGTGATTTGAACTGAATCCGATTAGCGGTTGAGGTCAGCCTTGATAGCTAGCTGCTTGCGGGGAGCCTGTCCTTGTGAACTGGAGAACACCACCACTCACCACGCGGTGATTGAATAAGCACCGCTTGGTGAGACCGGTTGGAATTTAACTTTGAAGTCTGTGTTAGGGAAATCGCTTTTCGTAGACAATTGGCGATAATTTAAATTATCATAGCAACAGTTGCACATTCGTGCAATTTTCAATAGTGAAATTTTGAAAAAAAAAAAAAAGATAAAGTCTCAAACAGATACGTAGACATATTTCTGATCGATTGGTGATAAAATTATTGAAATTGGTCCAGGGGCAGCTGAGTTATTAACGTTCAAATTCATAATTTTGTTACATGTTCCAATGTCGGTTTTCACAAAAAGTACCCCCATATAGAAATTACAGACGTAGTCCTACGTCAAAAGTGACTCAAAAGTGACTTATGACCAACGGGAAATAGACCAATACAACGAAAAAGTGACTTACTGATAAAGACAAAATAGTAGTAGTAGTGATTAAGTTCATTTTATTTAGAGGGTTTGTAACTGCACATGCAGCCATTTAACCCTGGTTAAATCAAATTGATTTTCTCTTTAATGTACATTCACAAAATTTATCACATTTTAATGTGAACGTGAATTTCCAATAGCCTTCCGGTGATCACATACCTGCAAATCCCACCACAAAATCACATACATGAAACCTATTTTCGGTGTAGGTTTATTTTAGTACGCATAGGTGATAAGTGTCATGAAGATGTTTTGGGGAAAAATGTCGTGACATTAGTTTCCTCCATACAATTTAGTGGTGGAATATCTGCAGGAAAAATGTACATTTACCACCTCTGACCGAGAGGTGGCCGAATTGCTGTAAAACAATAAGTTTTATTTGAATCAAGAATGAACTTAAATTGCATATGCAAAAATTTATTAAATTTCAGATACTTGTAGAGATTATATTGAACGGCTCATCCGTTCGTATTCAGATGAAATGTATAATTTCACCATTAAATTATTTTAATAACAGGATGGCTACTGAATTTAAGAATTTAACTTTCCAGTTGTCTAACATAGTTTCTCCATAGATCACAACTTTTAAATAACTAGGTTTTAAAGCATTATCTAAGCCTAAATCATGACCTTCAACAGCATGATAAAACCTAAATTATTGCTTGGGACATAGATCATTTTTTTCGGATAACTTTGGACATTTGGGAATGCAGTCTGTATCAGTAGATCAAAAAACGTTGTTTTCATTGGAATTCAAAATACAAATGCAAGCAAATTGTAAGGAGAATCTTTGACACATTTAAAACAAAACTTGAAGTAGACAATTATTTCAAATGATATGATAATTGTAGGGTGAGTGATAGGAGTTTCATAGAGGGGATTGCTTAAGTGGTATGCAGAGAATTACTAAGGCTATAATGAAAAAAAAAGAGAATGACAGCGAGAATAATAAAATTTAGGGGAATCCAGAAAGCAACTTTGAAGACAGCTTGGGATGATTCTAAGGAAATTCTTGATAAAATTTTATAGATATCCTAAGAAGA